CTCCTTCAATGAAAAGACTTTTGGATATGCCAGGCGAGTGATTATAATAGCGCATATGATGACCAAGATGACGTGTCCTTTTGTATAGCCACAGTCTCCTCTAGCTGTATAGTGCTAGTTTGCAACCCGGTCGAAGCGACAAGTAAGCTTGTGGAACACACCTAGTCCTGTCTCCTCTTCTATAGTATTTATGCTTTCCAGCTTATGGTGGCTGATTTGTATATAGACAAGCGTTTCGCCTGCAGCGTAGTTGGCCTCATCAGTGATAGGCGCCAAATAGCACGCAGCTGCGATAAATAATCATCTGTGAGCTTTGCAACTCTTAGCACCAATCTACAACTCGTCAAAGGGACAAGGAAATGTAATCCTTTGATCGACCTGCCGACCGGCTGTGCTATCGCTTCCCTTTTTGCTACAGCAATTCTCTGAAGGGATGTACATTGATGCTGAGTCACTGACGATGCATGAATAACGTCTGAGAATATACCAGGCCCACGGTCCAACACCAGGAATTTACATAGCTACCATGGTAAAGGATTCTGAAAAACGTGTCCGACTAGATCGTCCTGATAACATTATCACGTTGAGAAAAAGAGCTCCATTTATATGTTATGGCGTTTTTAATTTTAAGAGTATATCACATAAGAGCGAATTTTTGCAAGAACTTGTCGATAATCACCCCAAGCATGAAATAATTCTTTACTAAATAGAGCAACCTTCATTGGCCACTTAAACTCCAACAAAAGATTGGAAGTCGCGCAGTCGATACAATTTATCTGAAAGGCCTCCAGAACGAATTAAATGTGGATTCTTCCACAATAATAATGATTCTAATTAGTCCAGTCTTAAAACATGAAAGAAACGGCAGAATAGGTGGCGAAAACGGGATCACTGTTATTTTCAGAGCTGCAGAATGAATCAGCCTTATACCCAAAATAGTATCTATTGTCTGAAAAGGCAGCAATTAGCCGGAGCATAGGAGAGCATTCAAACTTGAGGGAGGCCGAGATAATGTATATGAAGACCGGGACGAAGTGGCCTTTGGTCGGTCATCAATTCATTTTGGCTTTGAAGATTCAGTTTATGTATGAAATTAGCTATCTTC